TGAATGCAAGAAGTTTTTTTCTAAAATCATCTGGTTCAAAGATGGCAACCTCTTTCTTGTTTAAATGTATTCATTTCTTCAAGACATCCATCCATCCATTCATTATCCAACACACTTATCACTTGTGGGGTGATGAGGGGTACTAGAGCCTATCCCAGTGGTCAATTGGCAAGAAGTGGGGTACACCCTGGGCAGGCTGCCAGTCCATCACAGTTCCTCAAAACGTATTTGTTGAATTATTACCTATTAGATTCAGTGAATATCTTAGGTTTCATAGTCATTATAAGGATGAATATTTATCCCAGGTTGCCTAATGCTGCATTCACACCAAACGCGATGTGATCGTCAGGCACGTCTGGTTTACATTCGAAGTCTATGTGGGGCGCTTTGCGGTGCGTTTGATGCGTCTAGCGCTGCGAAATTAAAAGTGTTTTGAGCATGTGCAGAAGGGGGCACAGAGGTCAGGGCCAGCCCAAGCCTCCATGGAACCCAAAGCAAAATTTGATTTTGGAGCCCTTTATTTCTGCTAACAATGTTGATTGCTAGAATCAACAGTTAGAAGATTAGATCATTCACACACCTCCTATAAACTTATTGAATCTCTGATAGTGCTGTTTACATTATATCCTATCCATGTAGGATACATTTATCAGAAAGTCGATTTCTGGGCACCCATATTTGGTCCATGTATTTTCAGGCAGTTTGTTTTTTCGTTTGAAATGAAAAATGAAAAAACAGAAATAGTCGTTTTTCGTTTACTAAACCAAAATCGGATAACGGGCTTGTTATCCGATTTGTGATTTAGTGCACAAAATGAAAATGGAAAAAGTGGATAATGAACTGTCAATTTCGATTTTCATTATTTCATTTTTGACAAGTGGTCTGACCCGGAAGTCCTCTCTGTCCGGCACAATTTGCTTTTGCAAACTCGTCCAAATTGGCATGTAATTGATTTGATCATTATACCTTCACACAGAAAACCTTATACTCCGACTTTGTTTTGTATATGAAGCTAATGGCTTCTAAATGCAGCTTCCGATTCAGTAAATGGCTAAAGGGCTAGTCCGCCCAATTTTTTTTTTACCAACCTTTAATCTGCTTTGATTTAAAAAAACAAAAACAAAAACAAACTCTTAAACTGCGACTTGAACATTCTGCCCATCATTCAAAGCCTTTAGTTTTTCCTTTCTGAATAGCATTAGCATACCAATTATAATCCGGTATGTTATGAACAAGCACGCAGAAAAGGTTATCCAAAATATAAAAATGTATCTATTTCTACCAGGTAGGAAATGTTTGAAAAAAGAGGATTTGGGAAAGAAAGCAGGTTATCATTCTGACTTTAATCTAAAAAAATGTCTTGCACATCAGTTGGTGTTAGAATAACGTTACAGGCCCTTTATCTTCATATCCTCTTCTGTGGTTTAACACACAATATTTTTTCATATTTTTATGAGTATTACTGTCCAATTAGAAATGAAAACCTTTGTCCCCTTCATGAGACTATTTACTTATAACTTATTAGACTCAACTGACTAAACATAGTGAACAACTTTTGAGTTGATAC